TTTATGCACAGTGGTCTTTGGTGAATACTATGAGGGATGGAGAAGGAGAACATAGCACAATAGAAAAAGTCAGAAGGAATAAAGTGAGAGGAGCAGGACCCCAGTCTGTTGGCTACAGTAGGGTGGATTCATTTCCATGTGAGCAGGTTGATACCCATCACGAGGTGATCTAGAGGCTGCAGCCTGATGTTCTCAAGGGCCCTCAGTGTACTAACTATAGCCTCAGGATATTAGATAAAGGCACAGGAGCAGCAAATTATTTCTGCCATAAGTGTGACTGGGAGGAAACTAATGTAACTCTTGCCAAAGCAGACTCCAAGATCACTAATTTATTGGATTTAACAGGATTTTAAAGAAAGTTTTTATAAAACATGATAAATTTTAAACAAGTTTCTTTATTGTAGGCATTTAAAAAACTTCTAATATGTGAATAGCCATTATCAATCTTCTAAAGGGAGGTTCTCAAATTTTAAATCAAGTTCTCTTGGTCATAGGAAGTCATGGATATCTTTCAGGGCTAATTACAAGAAGCATATATATACGTGGGGGAATACCCTAATATGATGGCAGGGCTGGCTCTCCGTGGCCTGTGGTCAAATAGATCTTCTGGAAGGACCTGAAAAAGGTGTGGGTTGGGGCCGACTAGACTACTGGCGAGGCTGGAAAAGACCAGTAGAGGGAGACTGCAGAATGCTGTGAAGACAGAGGAGTAGGCATCTGGGAATAAAGGTAGCTCCAGAAAAAACAGTGAACTTAGGCCTTAACTCCCAGATGCCATCAGCTCTAAGTAGACTGTGCTGGGACTCAAAGACCACAGTGCTGGGGTCTGTGGGGGCTCTGCACCTTGTCGCTACCAGGTTTGGGTAATGGTCATGAGCAGGATGAAGCTCACGTGGAGGGGAATGGTAGGCAGACTAAAGCAAAGCCTACTCCTTTTCTATCACTTTTCCAGGTTTTCAGAACCATCAAGTCAAGAGTTTCTCTGAGATACTGTGCCCAAGGGTTTAAGATTCCCATAATTTTGAAAACCAGAGCTTTCTGGCCTCTTACTTAATGTTTATGGGTCCCCAGGTCTTGTTGATACTGATCCCCTCACTGCAAGTCCTGGGGCTGGGATCCTGGCCTTGTTTAATACTGGCTTGAAGCTGCTTTATCACAGCCTCGAGTGTCTTGGGCTCCTATTTTTGTGTTTTTACTTTTCTATTTTTATTTTCTGATGATAAACGTAAAAAAATGTTCATTGTTTGAAGGTTTATAAAAATATAACATAGAAAAAAGACCCCATAATCTTACCAATCACAGACAACCATCTGGTATTTTTTTCTCTGATTTTATTTTTTCATAAATCAAGATTATTTGTGATTCAGTTTTGTATCTTGCTTCCCCCCCACTTAATCTTATGCCATGTTTTTTTCCATGCCATTAAGAACTCTTCATAAACATAATTTTTAGTGGCTGCCTAATATGCGAAAGATGGAAGTACTGTAATTTACTTAGCTGTTCAATTTCCTGTTAACCATATTTGTTCTTTTCCTAATCTGAATGTCTTTCTTTTTGCTGAACACAAAGGCTGTCGGGTTCTCTTCTTTCTCAGTCTTTTATTACTACTGTGCAGCCTTTCTCAAGATGTGGGCTTATTCCTTCTTTTCATTGATTCATCGAACCTGGTTAACCTTTGTGTTGTCTTAGCATTTTCCCCTAAGCTTCAGCTTACTGTGCTATTTAACTTTCCCGTCCTAATCTTACAGATGCTACTCGCTTGCCCTTTTTTCTGTCTTTGGTACATGCCCTTTCAAAACAACAATCTGTCAGAAGTTTCCCTGTACAAATGCTTTGGGTGGTTCTAGTCGGTGCTGAGAAACATACTACCTTGTACAGTCCTGCCTAAAAAACTTTCAGCCATTTGCCATGGAACATACTCTTTCCTCCATGCAAAGAATGGACTTTTAGGCAAATCATCATGAGGAAAACCTGCATTTGTAGGGATTGGGTTGTTTTGTCCCCTCAAGAAAATGTACATAAATCTCAACAGAAGGAGCTGTATTGGTCTGCTTGTTCTGCTGTAACAGAATATCACAGACCGGGTGGCTTTAACAGCAGAAATTTATTTTTCACAGTTCAGGGGGCTAGAGGTCCAAGATCAAGGTGCCAAAAAATTTGGTATCTGGTAAGACTTCTCTTCCTGGCGTGAGGAGAGCCATTTTCTCTGTGTCTTCACCTGGCCTTTCCTCTGTGTGTGCACAGAAAGAGAGTGAGCTCTGATGTCCTTTCCTCTTCTTAAAAGGAACCCATTCCTTTAGGATGGGGGCCCCCCATCCTTAAGACCTTCACTTACCTTTAATTACCTCCTTAAAGGTCCTATCTCCAAATACAGTCTCACTGAGGGAACCTCAGCATAGGAATTTGGGAAAGGAGAGCACAGTTCAGTCCACAAGAGATGACACAATATTGTGATGTTCACTAGTTTCTGTATTTACTTTATGTCATGAGAATTTTTGTTTGCTTGCTACTTGGAATGTATGTATTCTATCTCTCATTGCCCCCAAATAAAAGGATGATGTTGTCACTGGATGTGAGCACTGCCAATCATTTGAAGAATAAAAGATCCAAACTTAACCATAATCCTGACAAGTCTAGACAGCCTGACCATGGACAAACCTTTTTCTTCACTCTGTCTGAGAATAGGGGTAGGGATTTTAAATGCTTGAATATATGAAACCTTTCAAGGAAAAACATCGCTTGTAGAGGATGAAGAAACCAATGTGGGTTATCTTGAGTATTTAACCAACCCATTTTTTGAAGTCCTACAATGTGACAGAGAGGCACTGTTCCAGGCCCTCAGCAGACAGAGGTGAACAAACAAAATCCTGGGCTTCGGTGGGCCAGGCTTCAAGTAAGGAAACAGACAATAAATAGATAAATAAATATATAATATGTTGGTGAATAAGTGCTATAAAAAATCGAACAAGGCAAGTAGTTAGTTACTGGGTTGCAATACTAGACAAATAAAGTCCTTCCCAAGGAGATGTCATTTGAGAAGGAGCCTGGGTGAAGTAAGGGAGGAGCCATGCAGATCTCTGGGGGAACGTGTTCTGGGGAGATGAACTTGCTGATAAAATGTTTCTGATGTTGGCCTCTTAGAAGTCTTTACTGTTTGCTCATTGCATATAAATAGAATCTACTATAACTATAGGACATTCCTAGATCTTTGACCAAGAACTTCCTCCCGAGAAGATCCCCTTCCAATTTTCTGATAAGGACACGTGTTTTGTATTTTTCTTCTGGGGGCCCTGGACTGTGGTTTGCAAAGCACAAGCATCTTTGGGTACTTACAACAATTTAATTATTATTTTTTTTATATACAGAGTGAGCTCTGAAGAAAACTTTATGTTTTTTCCTCACCCTCTAAACAAGTGTTTTATTGAATTTGAACTGTGAAAATGCCTGTCTAGGGAGGTGCTCTCCACAAAGGTCCTGTGATAAACTGGATTGGACTATATCCTCCTCTTGGTCATCACATTGTACATTAGTATAGCGAAGGCCCTGAGAACTCTTTTAGTAAAATGTTGAATGTTGCTTAATGTTTTTCAAACTTATTGATGACAGGGCCCTAAATAGCCCGCATGTTTAGAGTAGATTCTTTAGGGTTTAGAACTTCTGCACCAAAGGGATATGAGACCTAAAACTGTTAATATGAAATACAAATATAGCATCACTTATAATGTTTTATTTCTAATTGGCAACAAACAGTCATCAGTAGCATTTTCTAGGCAGCTCGTCCAGGCTAAACACCAATCAGCGACACGAACACAGCTCTTGTTAGAGGGACCCATGCATCCGGGACGTTGCCTAGAGTCGAGCCCAGCTTTACCAGGCAGTGTTCCTCATGGCACCCCCATCCCCCCACCCGTCCACTCTTCCTTTTTCCACATAAGACTCCCCATGTGGCTTCTTGTTAGGCTTTGTTTCATGCTCTCCTGGGCCCTCATCCTACCTCCCTTTCACCTTTTCCTCTCCCTGGTGGGGGTCTCTTCAGCTAGATCTGCAGTACGATCCTTGATCCTTGCTTTCATTCTCTGGCCTCCATTCTTGGGAGATGCCAGTACCAGTGGTAGCTGTGGGGAAGAAGTAGCAAAATTGGGTCTGTTTGATGACTGGGCTTGCTTCCCAGCCCTGCCACCTACCTCATACAGGGAAGCACACCAGGGCCTATGGAAATGGCATGTGTGTGTGTGCGTGCGCGTGTGCGTGTGTGTGCACGTGTGTGTGTGCGTGTGTACAGACTTCAAGATTCTTCTGCTGCCATTTGATAGAGTAGGTGTGAGGATTAAATGAGTCATTTAGCCCATCCCTCAAAAGGTACTTTTAACATTTCCTCCTCTAAATCAGATTACAAGACTTTCTATTGTTGATGTTGAAAATCCTTTTAACTGATGAACCCCCCTTTCTTTTTGTAGAGTTCCTTTACGACATATCCTTTTCTCTCCGTGTTCAGTACTGTTTTCTGTTATTTCATGTTTGTCCTTTACTGTACCATGAGATCCTGAGTAAGTAATTTGATATTATTTGTCACAGAAGTTGTGGTAAGACGTAGTGGAAAAGAGGGCCCTGGACAAAATTGTAAAGACGGTTAAGTGTTTGTCTTTTCCTTTCCCTTCCTTCTGGTTTTTCTCTTTCTCTTTTAAACCTCCCGGGTCCTTTCCCCAGGCACGTAGGCCCTTCCTGCAGTACGCCCCCGGCCTCACCTCAGTGGCTGAGATGTCTCAACCAGTCTGGGCTTTCCCTACCTCATCAGCTTCACTAATCAATGCTCTTTTCCCTCCCCACTCCGCTGATTTCAAGTGCAGTGTAGATAAACTAATGTGGGACAGCTTATCGGTGTCTGATGACTGCTACACACAAGCCTCTCATTTGTCCTGAGTAGATATCCATTTAGTTGAGTCCCAGCTTACCTTAAAATTTTATCCTATTTTCTTGAAATTTAACCTTGCTTGCTCTTTTTCCCTCGGCAGAGAAGAGGCGATGGCGGCGCTGGCATCTATCGGCGCCCTGGCGCTACTCCTGCTGTCTAGCCTCTCCTGCTGCTCCGCAGAAGCCTGCGTGGAGCCCCAGATCACCCCTTCCTACTACACCACCTCGGATGCCGTCATTTCCACTGAGATTGTTTTCATCGTGGAGATCTCCCTAACGTGCAAGAACAGGGTCCAGAACATGGCTCTTTATGCTGATGTTAGTGGAAAACAATTTCCTGTCACCCCGGGGCCAGGATGTGGGGCGTTATCAGGTATCCTGGAGCCTAGACCACAAGAGCGCCCACGCAGGTACCTACGAGGTCAGATTCTTTGATGAGGAGTCCTACAGCCTCCTGAGGAAGGCTCAGAGAAATAATGAGGACATTTCCGTCATCCCGCCCCTATTCACAGTCAGTGTGGACCATCGGGGCATCTGGAACGGGCCCTGGGTCTTTACCGAGGTGTTGGCTGCAGCCATCGGCCTAGTGATCTACTATCTGGCCTTCAACGCCGAGTCACATCCAGGCCTGAAGGTGGCACCCCTGGGCTATTGCTACTTTCAATAAACGGTTGCTGGCTATAAAAAAAACTAATAATAATAAAAAAATAAATTTAACCTTGCTTTCAAATATCACTTTTTTTCTGATCATCTTTTCTTTTTTCCTTCCTTCTTTCTTTCTTTCTTTCTTTCTTTCTTTCTTTCTTTCTTTCTTTCTTTCTTTCTTTCTTTCTTTCTTTCTTTCTTTCTTTCTTTCTTTCCTTCTTTCTTTTTCTTTCTT